CTCACTGAATAAAACCTGCTGCTGACCAGGTTAGCTCTGGGAGGGTGTTACCATGGCAACAGAAACAAAGGATGGGGGAACTCTCTTTGTGAAAGGGAAAAGTCAGTTTCCCTGATTTCAGATTTATAAAATTAGATTTTTCTTGCTTGGTGAAACAGAGCCCAGATGTTCTACCAGCTCCCTGTGAGCAGACTGTAGCTCCACCTGGAGGCCACATGTTGTACCTGCAGCATGGATGTCTTTCAGTTTCAGCCGTCTGTCCTGATTTCTTTAAATTTTCTGTTTTTATGCTTTTTTTTTTGTTTTGATTTCTCATCTTGTTTCCATTCAGTGAGTTGATCTGCTGTCTGAGCTGATCTGTGTCAAACCGTCACAGCAGGTAAGCTGTGTTCGCTCAGACCACTGACACACCTCCATCCTCCCCCATCCTCACCCTCTGTCCTCTCCCTGCAGGTCGCGTGGGTGTGTGGAGGGACGTCTTCACTGTGTCCATGAACGAAACCTTTGATGCTTATTACAGACAGAAGATGGCGAAATCCGACCTCAGCTTTGACTTTTGCCTGTGACCCCCCCCCCACTGACCCCCATCTCAAAGACATTAATGCTTCTCCTCCATCAGCTCAGCCTGACAGCAGGAGGACCTTTAGAAAAAGTTTCCCATGATGCACTCTGTTCCCTTCCAGCCTGATTGATCCGCTGTTCCCTCTGCATGGCGGCCGCCGTAGGCTCGTCCCATCAGGGTAGCAGCGTCCTGCTGTAGAAGGCAGAGGAGCAGCAGCTGTTCAGGCCACACTGTCAGCCGTCGCTCCTCAGATTAACATTAGAAGCTTCTTCAGTATCTCTCCACTCTTTGCTTTGGTGATGTTATACGTATGGATGTCATTGACCTGAACCTTCACTGATTCCTTCGTCACTCAGACCCCCAGCTAACCGCCGTTAGCTGAAGAGTAGGTCAGAGAAACGGCCCAGTCCCGTTGGTCAACTGTATACCTAGACGACCACCTTATCTTTAAATGATAGACGTCATCTTAGAGCATCGCTGCACTGAGGTCAGACTGACAGTGGGACGCAGCCCACAGCATGACGACTCCTCCATCGAACTTTTGGCAGGTGATCCTTCATGGCCGCAGCCAACATCCTGTTGCTCCGCCCATAATCAGGCTGTCCATCAGATTCACTGCCAAAAAGAAAATCCCACTGACCAACTATCCTTCTCCAGCATTCAGTCACACATCTGCTCAGAGATCATTGATGGTTCGGATGAAATATTGTGACATTAAACTGTTTTTTTTCATCCAGCAGCTTTTTACTGTAAGGTTTAATCATCAGACCCATGATGACTCACAGACAGCTGTTCATTGCTCACAGCAGGCCTGGCCTTCTAGAAACGTTTGAGCTGGGAGGAGCAGCACTGCGCCAGCATAGCCCCACCCACTACTTCAACCTTTAACATTTTGTCTAAATAAACCAGCTTTATTCGTACAGCACCTTCTAAACAATGCATCACATTGACCAAAGCAACCCAAGCAGGTTCTGTTTTAGAACATCTCCAAGCTTTGAACATCTCCCTACATGAAGGTCCAGGGTGGGAGGAGCTGCAGAGATCCAAAGCTCAGGTGGAGGATCTGTCTGCAGCTCTGAGATCTGATCTTATCAATCAAAGCTGAAGGCAGAGAGAAGGTGGCGTCCCGTGAGGACGAGCAGACATGAGGAATAAGCTGCATCACAGCTGGAATCTGGGCTGGAGCTTCATCTGCAGGAGATAGAACGGCCTAGTCAAAGCCCAGACCTACCTCTACATTCCCATTAAATCAGAACTCCATCCAACATTAGGATGCTGAATGTGATGTTCTATGTTAGATGGATCTATCTGTGAAATTCTACTTTTCTCCTTTTGGCTCTGAAGCTCCATAAAGACTCAGTTTAGTTTCTATTACAGCTCCTCTGTCTCGCAGGTGGCCTGGTTTATGCTAATCCTTTATGTGAACCCATGAGGGACGAGTCGGTCTTATTGAATCTCATAAAGAGGATCCGAACATGAAGAAGATCAACGTTAAAACGTCCCGTCTCTGGCTGCACAGGTGTTTTCCATGTTCTTCGGTCGCCCTGTTACCCAGCAGTCTTTAGGTGTTATCTGTGTCTTTAGGCGGTCTGATCAAATCTTACTGATCTGTATTTAATCCACGATGAAAGATGTAAGCAGAAATTTAGAGGAAAACAGTTTTTACCAAGAACTTCCCATCGGTTGAACAGACTTGTCTGTTTTAACTAAAAGCTGCCAGACTGTAAGAGCTGAATGCAGGAATAAAGCTCACCCGTTCAAACTCACCTCTGGGTCCAGTTTCTGCTACATATTGGAATAAAGCCAACTTTGTAAATAGAAAACTGGCTTCTGTTGTCTATTTGTGTTTATTTATGTCATTTAATATTTAATTTGATGACTTTAGGACCTTGATTTGTTGTTCTGGTGAAACACCCAGCTGGCTGGCTCTGCCTTCCTCTAAACAACATCCATTCAAAATATATTCATTTATTAACAAAATCATTCCACACCAGCTAAAATATATTTCAGTTTAAAATTCTTTAGTGGGTTACTGAAAATAAACTAACCAAATAGCTACTATGTACAAAGAAGGCAAAA